CCTCCACAGACTTACCTGCTGTGCACTGCTCTACACAATGCTGGGTTGTATTCCTGTAGCATTATCATATTTTCAGCACCTGCAGTGGGAGGGGAGTTACTATGCCACAGTTCTTCCCCCCCAGCCCTGCTGCTGTCTGTCACTCTGACCCATAGTACCCCGCATTTTGCCAGGGCATGTGGGGACCCCCTCTCCCCAGGCTCCAAACCCCACACACCCATAGCCCCCATACCTTCACAAGTTAATTTAACTCAAGCTCAGCAGCACAGCTCAAATATAATCCTGGCCCAAAGTGGCATAACTTTAAATCACCTAAAGGGCACTTAGGACTAGTTAAGAATCTTCAGCGTGTGATTGTTCAAGTTTTAAGTGCTCTTAACATGATCTAACTGTAATGTGTAATCTCACCCTGTGATGGTGTCAGACAGCTATGCCGCTCCCACCAAAACACTAAGACAGCCACTTTACTAACTGTCAGATGAAATATGTTTTCCTACAGTGTATAATGAACCTGTGGAAGTCACTGCTTCAAGACCTATTTGAGGGCACAGGTTAGGTAAAATGTTTTAAAAAATCTACTTTTATAGGGAGGTGAGAATGGCTGTCTTTAAATTAGGCAGGACAAAAATGAGACAGAAGCTGTCACGCTCAGGGGTCGAAACAAATTTCTAACAGAAGGGAGATTGGGAGAATTTTTTTCCCTATGGCCTGGTATGTGGTGAACCTTTATTCCCACCAAATACATGGATTAATGGAACTGGCTATGACAGCACTGACCCACCCTATAACTCCAATGATCTGTCTTTGCAACGTCCCATACAGAGAATTCATATGAAGTCCATGTCTTCACTGGGACTGTATGGGGAGCTGGGACTGATGCTAATGTGTACGTGAACATATACGGTGAAGAAAAAGGTGATACCGGGGAGCGTCATCTGAAAAGATCCAATAACATGAACAAGTTTGAGAAGGGCCAGGTAATGCATGCACTCAGGCAAACAAAAGGCTGGCATAAACCTCTGTTCTCTATGATGGGCGGGTGGTTGTGCATTACTCCTTCTTCCCAGTAAGCCTCCTTGAATGAAATATTTAGAAATGTCACTTCTGTATCTTAAACACAAAAAGCAGGGAGTTTTCCCTCCAAACATTTTGCAGGGAATATTCCCTTGGAAAAAAACCCTGAATTTGCCTCACCTACATGTCAGCCCCACATTGCATTTAGTTCCTGTAAATGTTCTGGTAATTAATTCCTGAAAGCCACAAATATTACATGAATATTAGGATGTAACTACACTTCAAAGTGGATTCCAAAAGTAACACTCATCCAATCAGGGGATGAAAACAACACCATGCTACCTTTATGCTCAGTTACAATTCAACAATGTGGATTGTAAATTGAATTCTTGCAACATATTGTTCATAAGCTATCAACATAATAACCATGACAGGGCAGAATTGTTCAAGGAATAACTCTGAGTGCTGAAAAAGATTGAGAGAACAGTAATCTGGTTGTAGACAGCTTGCACATAGAAGAAGAGGCTGAATTTGTCAAATTATTACAAAATGATTTATTAGCTCGGCTCCAGTCAAATGGTAATGAGAGCATCGTTATTTGGTAAGTGGGAGGAATTCGAAGTAATAGACATGATACCTTCTGCTTTGGTGGGAAGATGAACCCAAACTTTACCAAGAAGCTAATTTCATTAAGGCTTAAAAAAAGATGGTGACAAGGCCTGTGTTGTCAAAATGAAGCTGTTAATGGGTGAACTCCACGGCTGTCATGAATGACACAAGGGGAAATGCTTCAGTGATCTGAACCAGCGGTTCCATAGGAACCTTTCCACCAACTTAAATAGCCTTTGCAGCTTGTCTCAAATGCCAAAGTACAATGTGGATTTTAATAAGGGAAGAAAGCTGTGACCCGGAAAAAATAAGAGTTACAAGGGACAAGTAAAAGGTGGTAGCAGTAGTAACATAGGAACACAGGATTGGAAAGGACCTCCTGGGCCACTGCATCCAGTCCCTTGCATTTGTAGGCAATCGTTAACCCAGGGAATCTACAAGGCACAATACCACGAACACCAGAAAGGCTCCATAGCAGATCATTAGTAAAAGCAGGGGAGATGAGGGCACTGCCTGATGCCTTGCCATAGCAATTTTATAGAAGTACTAGGTTATTATTTATCAGAAGATCTTAGAAAAAAGCCTATGCCCCACACTGCAGAGGAAAGCAGCTGTCTCTCCCACCCCGCAGTCTGTGCCAGACTGATCCAGGGGAAAAATTACTTCCTGACCCTAAATGTGGGTATCAGCATGACCCTGAACAGAAGAGCTAAACCCTTTAGCCAAGTCTCTCTGGGTCTTCTCCGTACCAGCACGAGCATCTGCATACCCCGCTCAGAACCCTCCAGCCTTTGTTGTAGAGGCAAAAGCACTGTTCCCCCACAGAAGGCAGGCAGCAGCATTCACAACCAGTGCCCAGCATGCCTGAAGCATGCGATTATTTGATACCATCCTTATTACAGGAGCTACCTGTATACCCCAACCCTGGGGTGCAAACATGACTACTGCTTGCCAAGCCACAACTGCTTGTTCTGTCCTACCACTCCTGCCAGAAACTTATCCAGGAATAAGATTAGTATTTTAGAGAAAGGGCCAGACAGACTTTTCACTTTCCTAGCAGAAATGAGTTCCCTGTCCTGAGCCCTGCCCCCCGCGACACTTGTGTGTGAAACACGCTCATCTCATTCTGCTTATATGTTGGCAGGAGGATGTATTCACTATCAAGGCCATCGATCTGGGACCACTGAAGAAAATCCGGATCCGTCACGACGACTCTGGTACAAACCCAAGCTGGTACTTGGAGAGGGTGGAGGTTGTCGATCTCAATGCAAGCACCACGTGAGTTAATTTGTTGCATTCAGTTAACCTGACTGGAAGATGGGATATGCTTTTCTGATCAAAAAAACACAGAGGCTTTAAAGTATAAAAAGGCAGAAGGATGTAACAATTGTAGTTTCATAATCAGCTCAGCCAGTCTGGAGAGTCATCCTGGAAACCTAAAATACTGGTGCTCTCAGCTCAGAGATTAGGGAGTGCTCTAGGATCCTGAGCAAAGGATCCCCGACTCTGTGTGTGGAGCAGGGAGGGGATCTAGAGATGTCCCTGAAGGACGTATATCAGTTCTTGCTACCATCACCCATACACAGCTCTGCTGAAAAGATAGCACAGCTCCAGACTGTTTTCTTTTCTGTGACCCCCACAACATGATGAGAGTGCCTTCGGGAAGCTGCCAAGGTGAGGGACCTTCAACACCCAGCTATTATGGAATCAGGCTGACGGGGAATAACAAAGCTAGAGCTCACTGTGAGGACAAGTCTTCTGTACCGATAGGGCTGGCAAATCCCCCAGCTCTCTTGGGATCAGAGTGGAGTTTGTGGAAGAGTTTGGAAACCAAACCCACCTATTTTATTTCCAGGAGAAGCAACCTCCATTCAGAAAAGTCTGACGGAAGCTCTCCTCCACTTATGGGCCTCTTTCTATGAGCTTGACTCAGAAGTTTGTTGCCTGCTTGTGGCTTGCTATTAACACACAAGGGACTAGTCAAAACTATGAGCCTGATCCAAAGGTGCTGATCTGGCAAACTCCCACTAATTTCAGAGGGAAATGGCTGGGTAAAACTTGAGTTGCCCGTTGATCATAGCTCTGAGATACATGCTTAACTATGGGCATGTGAGAAGTTCCATGGGCTGCGATGGGGCCAAATATGTCTGGTAGCTTGATGGGAGGCGGATTATCTCTCTGGTAGCATACCTGCCACTGAGATGCGAAACCAAGAGGAGTTGGGTAGGAGTGAGAGGTTGGCCTTAGCCAGTGGACCGTAACATCTGAGCTTGAGTGAAGTCCACACTAGCTTCTTCCCTTTGCTAATTGCTGTTCCGCATGCCTGTGAAATGCTCTGAAGAGAAGTCCTATGTAAGTGCAGGGCACTGTTGTTGTTCTTGTAGGTATTATTTCCCATGCCAGCGGTGGTTGGCAGTGGGGGAAGACGATGGGCAGATTGTGAGGGAACTGGTTCCAGTGGCTGAAGCGTTTGTAAAGAAAGATGTGAGCAGCGAAGACCAGTCTCCTACATCATTGGGCCTGGAGCAGAAAGGTCTGTCTTTTTCTTTAATCTGATAAGTAATTAAAAACAATTCATCTTATTAATAGTGCAAAGAACATTACAATTAGAGGGTTCATCAGAGCAACAAAAATTCAGCTCCTGGATCAGGTACGAAAAAATAGCAAGGTGCGTACTGGCCTAAGAGGAGTCTGAGACCCCCTCATCTCCCATGCATTTCAATTATCTTGCAGATTGAAGCAATATATTGTAGCCATGTTGTGGCATGGGATAGCAATAGGTGAAGGTTTGATCATGGAGCTGACCAAGTAGCTAGGAATACCAGTGATAGTTGCCATCAAAGTTAGACACCTACGCTTGTTGAATGTGGTGCCCTGTTGTATTATTTTTCCAAAATGACCTTGCCTCTGTTGTGTTTGATTTCCAGCACTGACCACTCAATAATGAAGCCAGAAAGCAGGGGTAGATATGTGCCTTACAGGCCAGCTAAATACGATCTAGAGAGAGCACAGGCTTTTGTGAACTCACACTTGCTTTAGCAGATGCTGTGAAAGGACATGCATAGCTCAGTGTATGAAGGGGAATGTGTAATTTGAACACAAAAGGTGGGAAGGGAGGAGGAAGAAGAGGGGATGAGTGTGAAGATAGTGGGAGAGGCAAATAAGAAAATAACAAAGGGGTCACAAAAGCTAATCCAGTTAATAGAATAAGATCCACAGCCCTGGTTTCATATTGTGAGTCTAACTTTAGGGGCTCAGTCTTGAAAATATTGGCCTAGAACTTTGTAGTTTGGGGAACTCTAGGTATTCCCATACTTTGCATGAGCTTTGCTGTAGTGTTCAGGTGCTGGCGCTAGTGCTGGGAAAGACACTAAGGATGATACTGAGAAGGGCTAGTGTGTGTATGTGTTCATGTGTGTGTGTTTGCACATGCATGCACACAGAAAAATGTAAGCTCCACTGTTCGCATCTGTTTTATACATGTGAGAACATGCATACACATTTACCCAATGGTGCTATCAGAATAAAAGAATAAAGTGTTTTAGACTGCAGCAAGAAGCAGTAGTTAGAAAAAACTGGGACTCCCAGGGTGCATCTACACATGCTGATTTAATGCATCTCAAAAAACCATGATCTTTAGCTAATGCACATTAAAATAGGCTAATGCACCTTTTTCTAGTATCTCACAATGGAGATACTTGGTTTAATGTGCATTATCTAAATCTCATCAATGAACGTCTAGATGTGCCCCCACAAAGCTAATAGGAAGTCTGAGCACCTCTCTTTTGTAGAGATGAAGAAAGCTTAAGTGAATGACAGAGCAGTAGAGGATCATACTTCCCAACAGTCCTGTTTCACCCCAGTAAGCATCATTGCAAATAACAGGAATTACTCTCAGAGCTTTCTCAATACGAAGAAGGGCAGAGAGGAAGCCCAACAAATTATTCGTGCAGCGAAACAAGAAAAGCAGTAGAATTAATAGCTGCTCAGAGTTCACACCCTCAAATCAAAATATGCTGTTTGACAGCTAAATCGACGACTTATATTGTGAGAGTCAGAACCGGGGACAGGAAGCATTCTGGGACAGATGCCAATGTCTTCATAATACTCTATGGGACAAAAGATGACACAGGTGAGAACCAAGTACAGCCGCTTTATGACTGAAAGATGTGTGATCCTCACTGTTGATATAGTCCGCTGCAATGACTGACAGTTTTCTTGTTTTCCTCAGTACCGTATCTATTCTTATATGATTTCACATTTGCACTGAAAACCTGTTGCTCATCAGAACACATAGGAGGGTAATTTTTTTTCAGCGCTTTTTAAAAATGAATATTAAGGAACAGACCCTCAATTGCCATCCATCTGTGTAGTCCATTAGAAGTCTGCTCCTTTACACTAGAAACAGAGTTGTTGACAGCAGAGATTAGACTGCAGCCCCGCAATAGTGCACACGGGGTTGCCTTGCAATGAGACGTCCGCCCACTCTACAAACCCAGCTCTTCCTCAGGAGCGTGGATGTCACAGAACACATTTGATCTGTTGACAAGACAACTGTGTTGGGGCTGGCTATGTGTGTAGTGATTTATAGCGTTTGCGAATGAGACGAGCAAGAAGCACGTAGGGCCAGTTGCCTTATGGCACCCAAAGCACAACTTCCACAGCCCCAGGGCTGCAGTATTGATGGCTCCTCTATCAAGAGTGACATGACTTGTTTGAGGGTTTTTGACATAGGTGGGAGTTTTGAGTGAGAGGATGGATTTGAACACAACTCTCAAGCTGTGAAAGGCTGTTATTGCTATTTTAGATATGTCCCTTACTGCCCTGTTGACCATCCCAAACGATTGGTTTTTATCAACCAACCAATGACTCTATGTTTAAATAAAACAGGAATAATGAGCCTTAAGTCCTCAAAGACTTACAAGAACAAATTTGAGCGAGGGCAGATTGATGAGTTTACACTGGAAGCTGTGGACCTTGGACACTTGAAGAAAATAAAGATTGGCCATGACAATAAAGGTAGGGCAGGATGGCATGCTACAGCTTTTCTTGCTCCACCAGGTGCTTGTATTTGAAAATATTCATGCATTTATTGTTACCACCCTTGACATTATAATCATCATGTGTCTGGTGCTTTAGGAACAGACCGACAGATTCTTGCCCTGGGGAGCCGAGGATTTGAGTTAGATATAGTACTACCATGGAGGGCACGCAAGGTGAAAGTTGTTTATGAGGTTTTCAGCACCGCAGCTTTTAAAGAGATTGTATAAAGCCAGTCCTAGGAAGCAGAAGGAGGGAAGAGAGATCTAAAATACTTCTGGCTGAAAGGGAAGGTACTGATCCAGCATTCAATATTGTAGGCACCTTCCGTTACATAATCAGGCCATATGCTCCCGGTGGATAAATTTTCAAATGATCTGATTCCAAGTGGGATCTCTAGATAATAAAATGCAGGTCTGGCATTCAGACAAATAACCTGGGTTTTCAAGAGTGGCTAGTCGATCTGACCACTCTGTTAAATAGTCAAAAATTGAGATACCTAAAACTACTAGTTGCTTTTGCGAATTTTGGTCTAAGACTCTGGCAAAAGAGCTCAGGGTAAGAGAGAGAGTCTAGAAGTCAGAACATGGTGCTGCCTGTCTAAGGGAATCCCCCCGTGCTCTGACCATGGTCCTTTCTTTACAGTGAGGGTTGCCAAAATATGGAATAAGCTTCCAAGGGAGGTGGTGCTGTCCCCTTCCTTGGAGGTATTTAAAAGGAGATTGGACAGACACCTGGCTGGGCTCATCTGATCCCAGCACTCATTCCTGCCCAGGACAGGGGGTCGGACTCGATGATCTAATAGGTCCCCTCCAACCCTAACAACTATGAAACTATAAGTGCCTCTGAACTTTGGGAAAGTCAGCAGTTGGTACCTTGATTAGTATAACTCCCCATCTGTAAAAGGCGATAACTCTTATTTCACAGAGACTTTGAAGCGGATAATTAATTTGTGATCGCTGTAAAGCTCTTTGCTGGTGGTATGCATTATTCACAATAATTGCCTGTAGGTAACTGCACTGGATGGTTTCTGGAATGGGTGGAAATCGATGCCCCATCATTTGGAAAATGCCTGATGTTCCCTAGTGGTCGCTGGCTGGATAAACTGGAGGATGATGGACGCACTGAGAGAATTATCTTCCCTGCACCGCTGCAGACGAGGGAATATGTGCCATGTATGTAGAGGGCTGATTCTCTAAGGTCTCCTGGGTCCTGGTTTGTTTATTTTTGCAGCGTGGTGAGCCATTTTGCCAATATGATTCAGTGCTCACTTAATAAGAGGACAGTTGGAAGCCATCTGCATTTATCTAGATGGGGAAAACCCTTCCTCCTCTGTCCATGAGCCCTTCAAAGTTTCTTCTTTGTCTCTAAGTTTCCTTAGGGGGCTGTCCATTCCCAAGTCAAACAGCCAAGTGGCTAAGGGAGCCCCTAAGAGCTAGCCAAAGGGATGCCCAAAGCACTGGGGTGTATCTGAAGTTGTACCTTCTCCTGAAGTAAGGCTTCATGTGACACTTCTCCATCCTCTTGGATCCAGAGTGCAGGATGCACTTCTGAGGGCACGCGGTGATGGCGGTGCTATTGCCTTTGCTTTGCATAGTAGGATGTAGACACATGTGACAACTCAAATATTTCCAAGGGCCAGCTGCATGCACACACAAGCCATTCTGAAATATTCTAAAAGTGGCCAAAACACCCCAGAATAGCGCGGCTTGAAATGCAAAGTTTATTCTGGAGTTTCTCTTCTGGTTATGTCTAAGTGGGAGGGTGGACAACCTGCCTGCTGTCCAGCTTCTGGTTCCTTCTCTAGGTCCTAGGGCTCTGCCAGGTCCACACTAGGAACCCCTCAGGTCCTGCTGGCACCTCTGCCCCCAAAGCTGGGCTTGCCCATCGCACACTGCTCCTCTTCCAGACCCCTCCCAACCGCCAGGGTCCCTGTGGCACTGGAGCCGGGCCCTTCTTCTCCAGTCCTCTCACCTCTTGGCTGTGCTGAAAGGGGGAACGGAGAGGCAGAGGGGTTGGAGTGGGAGTGTCAGGGTCCTGTGGAGGCCGCGTTCCCTTAGCTGCATCTAGGCCACTGTGCAGGCAAGAATGCAAGCCTCAGCTGGGAGAGGCAATCCTGGATGACAGTCTGCGCTCTCCGGACTATTTCTGGGATTTTTTTAATCTAATGACTGTTGAATATGAAGTGCACAAGCAGTCCTGGGCTTGTGACCTGTGCACTCTTGGCAGCCCTGTGGCCCAGCTGCTATAGGGGGGTGGAGGGAACCCAGCCCAGGCTCTTCTAGAACAGTGGGGCCAACTTTTTGGGCAGGTGTGCCACAAATTAAGCCCTGCACCTCTTCAGGTGCCACTCTCTTCCCCTGCCTGATCTCTGCTTTCTTCTCCCTGCCCTATCTGCTGCTGTGCTGCCTTCCCCTTCCCCTCTGCCACATCCTGCACAGAGGCTACGTGTGCCACTTGTGGCATGTGTCTTGCATGTTGGCCACCCCTGTTCTAGAGCCTGGGGATTAAAGTGCTCTCCTGGGATGTAGGAAATGTGAGTTTGAATTCCCTCACCAAGGACACAGATCTCCTACTTCCTGACCAAGTACTACGGGGGTATTCTGTAAAAGGTCAGTGACACCCACAGTGACTGAAGCACCTACGTTCAGCCCAAGTCCCATTTAGGTGATTTATTTACCAGTCCCTGTGTCTCAATTCTCAATTTTTATAATAAGGACAATAGCACTTTCCTTCCTCACATGACTCTTGGGACGAGGTGTATGTTAAAGGTAGTGAGCTGCTCAGAGCATGGTGAGGAACCATGTAGCTACCATAGATCCTTCCTACAGTCCCTCCCTGTGTCTGCAGTTGATACATGGCTTCATGCCAAGAGGCTCTCCCTTGGGCTATCTTCTGCTTCTCACCCTCTTGTCTGCAAGCCATCCAGCCTTCAGCAGCTAAAATACCTTATTTTCTTGCATACGACATGCCCCAGAATGTAATACCTACCTTGTTTTTGAAAGTCAGAATGAAAAAAAAAAGATCATTCCTTGCAGGAAGTAACTGAGTAGCAGCAATGAGGGGACCGGGCCTGTTCATTGTTCTGCTATATGTGGATCTCTGAAGATTTTGCTTTTGCTTGATAAGTGGCAGGACCCTTTCTTACCATATTTCTCCTATTACATGCAGTCCAGTTTTCTGCAGCTGGCTTTTGGCAAAAAAGGTGCATGTTGTAAGCGGGAATATATATTGATCTTCCTATTCTAATGCCATCCTCTTTGTGCCGCCACCTCCACTGCTCTGGCCATCCCTCACTTGCATTTTCCCAGTAAAACACAGGGATGCTCCTTGCCGGCCACCATCTCATGCTTACTCAGTGTGTTGCAAGATAGCTGACCCTGCATTTAGAAGAATAAATATGGAGACAGGTGTGGTGCACTTGCAGTGCCTGTCCTCCACTGAAGTCACTCACAGGGCATAGCTGGAACCTCACTGCTGTATAGCCCTTGTGCCTGTCCTCCGCATGGGAATGAATGTTGTGTACAAAACCTTGCATTTGCTTCCCACAATGGTTTCCCAGTGTTTTTCAGGTGTGGCATTGAAGTCTTGATGCATAAGTTGCTTATATTGTTCATTAAATGCTCTAGTGTATTACATGACATAAGGGCTTGTGGAATGCCGTGCCTTTATGTGCAATGTATACAGAGCTAATCTGTGTCAGCAGCCTTTATGCAGCGTCTCGAACCAGTAATCAGGTCCACCTGGCAGAAATGTTGCACATTGCTAAAACTAAGCCCAGGCAGCACCCCTCTTAAATGCACCCATTGTGCTCTTAACAATATTCTAGCTTCCCAGCCATTAACCCAGCAATTTTAGTTTGCCAGAGGTGACTGAAATGATCTGATCTGTTTTCATGACGGCTTATGCCAAAATTATTTCACAAAACATGGACGACAAAAACAGGCCATCGTTATGCCAATTAAAATCATGCCTGTGGGTATACAACTTTAAAAGCGCCATGTAAATGAAAGGGGAGTCTGACAGCTGAAAGTTGGGCTGCTTGTGACCTTGTTACAGCGCTGCTTTGCTGATTCAGTTCGAAGCTGATGTTAATAGTCAGGTAACAAGAACAAGCATAGCGAACTCAAGCAGAGCACATCATTTTTAATTCAGAACACATAGCATGTGATTTTTTTTTTTTTGTTTTGGGTTTTTTTGTCTTCGGGATTTTTTTTTCAACATATGGCAGGAAACTATTTCAGTTTACATGCAGCACAAGGGAACAGATTTCATTGGCTCTGTCAACAAGAATATCAAGTAGCTTTGGGCTGTCTGTCTCTAGAAAAAAAGAATTCTTCATCTCTATTCTCCAGAGATCTGTGTTTAGAAAGTTTAGACATTTAATGAATGATTATCTCTGATATGCCTAATCACAGTTACTCCAGCGCTAACAGAAATGATGCAAGAAACAGTCCATCTGTTCTGAACAAAAACGCTGAGCTCAACCTGAGTAATAAAGAGCAGCAACAAATGTTGGAACGGCTTCACGGTGGGAGAGCCGAGGAGTAGGAGCGGATAAGAAGAGGGGGAAGGAATGGTTGAAATGGGACTTGTTGCATATAGGGCAGGTAAAGAGAAGAAGGTGACAGTGATGACAGCCAAGGGACAGATGAAATGATGGGCCAAATTCTTGCTGAGAGTGGAGTGTGAGAGTCAACACAGACACTGTCTCCCCATAGAGCTCAAGGAAGGCCTTACATCAGTTGAAACCAATAATAATGATAATACAATAATGCACAGCTCTTACCTGGCCATTTTCATCCATACTTCTCAGAAACATGGCATGAAAGAGAACAGGTTTCATGTGGAAGCTGAGGCACTGGGAGGGAAGAGACTTGCCAAAGTCATATACTGGTTCAGTGGCACAGCCAAGAATAAAATCCAGGTCTCTGGAGTCACAGTCTAGCCCTTTATCCTTGGGATCAGTCCCCCTTGAGATCACTGAGAAAGTGGAAAGGAGACTCATGGGACAGAGAAGAGATGTAGACAACAGGGAGTCAGAGGAACAGGCAGGCTAAGGGAACAGCAATGAGGTAGAAGGACCCTAGAAGGATTAAAAGGCCTAGCTCATCACTGCCCTGCACCTTGTTCAGGCATACACCACTCGGATTTGGTAGCATTTTACACCCACTTGCTCTGGTAGAAATGTGCACGGGCTGCGAAGAGCCCTGGCACCAGAGACCCCTCAGTGGAAGAAGGAGATAGAGGCCAAGCTTCAATAAGTTTGCAAAGCAGGTATTTCTCTCACTTTCGGACTCCTGCGATGAAGTGCAACGAGCCAGATGCCTACATCAGTCTGATCTCAGATGCCAAGGAAGAGTAGTACTGTTGGCTTCACTCTTTGAAATAGCGCCTCTCCAGAGCTCTCCCAATAGAACTGAATTGGAATCTGGCCCGACAACTTGCAATATAATGTAACAATTAGGTGTTTATGGCTTCCACGTGTTGAATGCCTAACAATTCTCTTTAACATTGCTAGTCTAGGTGTGATAGGTTTGCCTACTAAAAGAGTTGTAGGTTTTTGCAGCCTTCTAGACCAGGGGTGGCAGCTCCAGAGCCACATGCAGCTCTTCAGAAGTTAATATGCATCTCCTTGAATCTTTGCACAAGCACACAGTGACCAGCATCCAAATGGCTCCAAATACTTGTTGACAGAGCCAACGAAATCCAAGTGGAAGCTGGTCACCGTGCACTTGTGCAAAGATTCAAGGAGATGCATATTAACTCCTGAAGACCCGCGTGTGGCTCCAGAGCCGCAGGTTGGCCACCTCTGGTCTAGACTTTTGCTCACAGTTGATTGTTTTTTCTCTGCTTGACTTAGTCGTCCCTTACGAGATCACAGTATACACCAGTGACATCTTTGGAGCTGGCACTGATGCCGATGTCTTCATTGTTCTGTATGGAAATACCGGGATCTCTACTCGACAGAAGTCCCTGTGCCTCAACAAGAGGGAGCGAAAGATGTACTTTGAGAGGAACTCAGTGAACCAGTTCATTGTGGAGGTAAAATCCAAGATGTTTGCTGTTTTTCTGGAGCAATAATTTAGGGCATATCACAGGGCTGTTACGAAGATCAATATATTTAAAAGACTGTGCATATGATGTTCATGTACAATAATAGGGGCCACGTGTTTGAGTAAAATAGACAATGACCTACATTACCGATTGTGGTAAGCACTCATCTCATGGAGAGGCATTACAGAAACAAATGTGTGCTGCCCTGTTGTCATAACCCTTTTTGGAAAAGACCTTTTTTATTTTGATCTGTTTTAGATGTGTGCTACACTACATTGATTCTCACATGAATCAGTAGCTTCTCAGAAAGCCTAAGGGCTCTGAGACTGCATAGCTGAAGATATTAGGAATGGGACAGGAAGGTTTTCATCCTAGGGTGCCAGTTCTCATTCACCCGCAATTAGTTGTTACCAGCAAAGCTTATCATGTGGTCTCTCGCATTAACCACTGGCACATGCAAGTGGGCAGTAGTGGAATGGACATGCACTCTCACCCCTCTTAGCTGATTCTTCCAGGTTAGGGTGAAGACATGAGGGCAGGACAATGTGTAGAAGCTTGCACTTATGCCATTTCCCGAGACACATCTCTTCTTTGGATAAAGAAAGGACTTTGGTCTTCAGGAAAGTCATCCAGCACTTGTTTATGGTTAAAATATCTTTACTGCTCTCTGACACACCAAGGCTTTCCAGTGCAAGGTCTGGAATGAAGTACAGGAGCGTAAGATCTCCATGCACCATTCTGTGGGTGCAATTTCAGAAGACTCTTTTGCACGGTTGAGCTACAATATGTAGCTGTGTATCTAGGATGGATAGTCTAAACCAGTGGTGCTCAACCTTTTTGCCTTGTGGGCCCGATAGGCAGTGCCCAGTACATCTGGGGGTCCCATCCAGCTGTGGAAGTAGAAGGAGAGGGGGGAGGTAGGCAGGCAACTCTGCCCCGTGGGGGGGAAAGGGGCTTGACCCAGATCTGTCGGGGGAGGAGGCATGGCCTGGCCCTAACCCACCGCGTGGGGTTTAGTGTTTGGGAATTTGGCAGTGTGGGAGGGTGCCAGTATTACTCGCCGCTGCCCCCCGCTGCCAAATTTCCCGAGCCCTGGGGAGCCCCATAGGCTGGATACCATTGATTCCGCAGGGTGCATTTGGCCTATGAGCTGGAGCTGGAGTACCCCTGGTCTAAACCTTTGTTGTATCATCATGGCCTCGTTATTATCAGCCTCTTCCCCTGTCTATGTGGACATAGGGACTATTACCTTATTATAGGATATATGATTTTTGAATAGGACCAAGTTTTCAAAGAACTTCATTACTTTATTATAGGATATATGATTTTTTAAAATAGATTGGACTTAGTTTTTAAAAGACCTCATTACATTGTTCCTGAAGTACTTGCAGACACATACTTTTAGTGAATCAAGGAATATATTCATGCAGGTAGATCAGCTAATTATGTATCCAGTTCTGCACTTACATAAGCAATACTGGATTTAGCAGTTCCAGTTCCCACTGTGTCCAGTGCAGTCTGAGCTTATACACTTGCACATACTGCAGGCACAAGATGAAGAGGTCCTGCTCTGGCTCTCTGGCATACTATTTGATATCTTCATCCCCAGGATATAATACAGAGACTGACAGTCCAGAGTGTCATATCACCTTTTAAATAATAGACCTCAAATCCTGGAATGAATGTTTTTTTGTAAGGCAAAATATTGTCTGTCCCAGATGTTCTCCTGGGGCATGAGACAGAAAAGATTCACAATGTGACAGATTAAGAAACCAGAATAGAATTTACCTTTGTTAGGATTTGTTCCTAACACCCTTTGCCATTAACTACTGTGTACACAACTAGAATAGGGTATTATTTTATTTTCCTTGTCCTTCTAATTGGTTTGTCCCTGTGGAAGAACCACAAACATCCGTGCTTTTCTCAGCTGAAGCAAAGGAAAATGTGGTTTGATCTGTGGATTTGCAGCAGCAAATCAACTGGCCTCCAAAATTTAATTTGTTCTTGATCAGGTCCTCTTCCAGGGGGAGAGCAGCAAAGAGCTAAAATATATTCTTTTATCACCTACTTGTGAGGAGCCATAATTCAAAGCTCAATAGACCTTGAAAGTAATTCTGGGATTTTAGAAAATTAAAAGCGGAGAATTGCTTTTTTGTTCTAGCATTTTTACTGTTGGCGCTGTTTTGTATTCTGCGGAAAGCACTGAAGAAAATGCTATCAGCTGAGGTTTTGAGTGGTGGTTTCTCGGAGATGACTATAGAGTGCAATAAACACATTTTTTTTTCCTTAACATCCCTCTTTACAGTCATGTGACACTTCCTTACTGTGTCACACACCTGACTTGAGGAGGATTATTCAGGCTGGGCAGAGAAGAAATTGCATCATGTTCCTTTATATCCAAATATACAAGTGCATGCATGAACATGGACAAGGGAATGCATTTTGGGGTGAATTTAGATGACTTTAATGCTCAGGCTAGTGAGAAAGTGACAATCTTGTTTATATAGGGGTGAGATATAATGCTTGCTAACCCCATGCCATTAGCACAAGGAGTGGGCAACAAGGGCACCAACCCCTAGGCACCTACTTAGAGGGGGTGCAAGACCCAACCTCTGCCGCCAGGGTGCAGACCCTAGTAGTTACACCTTGGCCCCATCCTGTTGGGACCCTGAACCACAAGATGCAAGAGAAGCTGGATGCTTTGCAGGGTTAGGTTCCTTACTCTCCTGTGAGTATGAGGGTTTGTGATGTGTCCAGGGGTATTTCTAAGTGCATCCAACAGCTGAATGGCATTGCTGAGGCACTCCAGCGGTTTGCTGCCCCTTCGATTTCAAAGAGCTCTGCTTCTCTGCTGATGAGCTCCAGCTGAGTGGAGAAACAGCTCAGTTTGTGAAGGCAAAGCACTGGTGAAGCTGGCCTATCCCACTTGAAAAGTAGGCATTAGATCCTCTGGTTTCAAAGGCTGGCCTTCATGTACTAGCTGGCACCAAAGTAACCTAGACACATGAATCCAGCCCAGTTTCATTATTTGAGTGCAAGCCATTCTTTTGGGATATAAGTGGCTTAGATGACATCCAGAAAGTGAGAACCACAGATAAGTGGCCACTTCTTAAGATGTTGCTTTGTGCAACTTGCTCGGAGCGGCGCTTGGTTTCTGTGGTAAAGCAAAAATGAAAGCACACATTTCCCAGCTCTTCATCTTGTGCTTTAAGCTCAAAACCATCCCTCCCCTTTTTATAATTGTGTATCAACAGTCTAGCACAAAGCTGGTAAAAATAATTCCAGCTCCGGTAACCTTGCAACTTCTGTGGAGAAACTCAGCTTTCATTGCCATGGAGAAGTGTAAAGAAATGCATTTTAGAGCAACTCTGCACATGGACTTTTGAACCCACATCAGTGAATCTGTTGCCTAAACTGAACTGATTATTTTTGGTGCATTTCCGTTCATATTTCAGACCAGTCATGGGGGGTGGAGCCCTGTCTTCTGAAGACGCGGACCAAGAGCTTTGTTAATATTTGCTCCTGTGGGAACTTTAAGCAGAGTAGAAATGGGAAATTTGCTACCGAATCAGTGCCTTTAGACTGCAGCTATAAAACAGTTGAGGCCACCCCCAATTCCTCATATAACTTTTGTTTCCCCTATTGCTGTAACTTTTGTTTCTGCAGCTGGAGGACGTTGGCGACTTTATTGAGAAGATACGGATAGGGCACAATGGCGCTGGGATTAATCCCGGCTGGCATTTAGATCGGGTGGATATTCGGAGACTTCTGCCGAACGGAAAGGTAGGCATTGATTCGTTACATTTGGTAGCACATTTCTTCTGGCAGCTGCTCCTGCTTTCCAAGATAGAGCTTTGATGGCCAAAGAGGGATTAAGAATGAAAAATGGCTCCCTGAAGAACAGTGCTGACTAATGAAGGAGCTGGAGCTTGGGGAACCTGAGGACATTGGGTTTTGGTCTTCAAATGTTGGTTTTAAAACACTGCAGGTATAAGAATCCCATTCTCTGTAGTGCAAAGCTAAGAGTTTACAGCAGAGCATTTTCAGACCGAAGCCGTGTTTATTCAATAAATTTGCTGTGCCGGCAGTGGCACCAACAAGCTCAAGGCAGGCTATCCCTCCCCACCTCTAAACCAACAGTGTAGCCATGTCTGCACAGGTGCTGTAATGAACCTGGCGGGGAGGCTAATTGGTTTTGTTACTCAGGGTGCTAATTAGTCCAACCCAGGCACAACACAGAAGCCCCCTGCTTGGTGCAATGCAGTGTGTTTAAGGGTGCTGGAGCTGGAGCTGGTACGTATACCACCTACACCAGATGCCATTTAGACCAGTGACTCTCAGCCAGAGTACCATGAGGTCCTGTCAAGGGTGTCACACAGAGTTAGCACTGTTAGGTGTGCAAACATGCTTCACAAGATAAACCCAGAGAGATTTCAAATAGGAATCCACAGTGGTAAAGACATTTGGCCCTGCTGTGGCCTTTCTGAGTTATTTTCAATGAAAGAACTGCTCTATTCTTTTTCTGTAGTTAAAAAATAAGTGGAAACTAAGAAGTGGAATTTCTGGGGAGTGTCTTGAGCCTAACGAGGGGTGTCTTGAGCCTAACGAGGGGTGTCTTGAGCCTAAGAAGCTTGAGAACCACCAGTCTAGACATTGCTTAAGGTTCACAACAGATTGATGGAGTCGGATGAATTGCTTTCGTCTTCTGACTTCAGAATCTCCTCTCCATACGTGCAATAAAGTTCTCATGGTTATTTTTGTAAGAGAAGATATTTCCCAAGGAATCTTGGCAAAACGTGCCCTTCCAACACTGCTGTGCAATGCATGCTAATTGCTGACCAGCTGGCAACTCTCTGCCATCACAGTGGGCTGCTTTTCAGTGTGGAGAAATGACTCCTCTCTGTCCAGCTTGGCTATATCTGTACAGTAAACTTGCAGTCCCTGGAATCACTGCCCTCAAGCATGCTGCCCTGCTCTGGGTGAGCTGCTTCCTAAGCTGGAGGTAGGGTAGCCATCGACATGCATCACTTGGGGTAGGCTAATTAGCATCACAGAGTGATGGAAACAGTTAGACTGCCCCAGGGCTAATTAACCTGCCCATGGGGATGCAGCTACATTGCTCCCAGCTCACAAGACAGCCTTCCTACAACTGCTCAGAGCGCTTGAAGGAGAGGCCCCAGAACCAGTAAGTTTAAAGTATGGCCTTAGCTCAGGGGTGGGCAAAATGCAGCCCAGGGCCAGGCCATTCTATCCAGCCCGCTGGGCCCCTAAAATATTTAGAAAATTAATATTAATCTGCCCTGGGCTGCCTGTCACGCGGCCCTTGATGGCGTGCCGAAACTCAGTAAGCGGCCCTCTGCCCAAAATAATTGCCCGCCCCTGCCCTAGCTTCTGTTGGAGCATAGGGACTATTACTGATCTGCAAAGCCCAGGGGAGCATTCCCTGCGGTGCAGGCTTAGTACAGGCCCACTGCAATCAGTCCTGCATAGCCGCCTCATATGGAGCATCTCAGGCGGGAATCATCACACAGAGGAGCACAGTGGAAACTGCAGGGTGTTCTGGGCTCTGAATCAACCCACTGGCTGTGCTGCGTATTTGAGCAGACATCCAAGCTACCTAATTTATGCTAGGAGGCAGCTCCAGATCTCAAAAACCCACTATACCTAGGCTGCTTCCTTTAAAGTGTCCCTTCTGTCTGGAGAACATTTCAGTTTTGACCCAACGTACTCTTGGCTCAGGCAGCAACTTCTTGCCAGTGAATGCAACTTCTTACCCTGAGAGATGGCAATGGGGTGTGACTGCTATACAGGGAACAGAGATGTGTGAATTGGGAAAATACACCTGTGTGACCCTAAAAGGAGTGGGTTCTTAGACTGGATTTACAGGGAACCCAGCTGCCAAGTGAACAAAACCGGGTAAATATGGTGATACAATTATATTATTGTTAGTACTGCTATTGCGGCAGATACTGCAGTAATATTCACATGAGAACTGTATGAAGTGCCCCCGTGATACAGCCAACTTTCTGTTGAAACTGCAGGATGGATTTCAATTATTATTTCTGTTGATTGGTCTTCTCCTTTCACTTTTTCATCACCTGAATTCCTCACCCATCTCTTTCCGATCCAGGAGGTAGTCCTGAACATCCCCCAAAGATATACACTTTCTGTGACTCCTGTCTGAGCTTTAGAAAAATCTGGATCTAGGTCTGATTTTGCAGACCTGCAAAATCTCTAGTTTCCATGCAATTATACTTAGTGATAAAAAAAAGAAAAGAAAAACAGGATGGTAGAATTATAGAGATTAATGCAGATATTTTCCTAAGTGAAATATTTTTCACAGTTTTCTGAGAGGCAACATCAGCTCTGCAAGGGGTGTTAAAAAAATGCCTTGCTTAGAAATTGCTATGCACACACATTTCAGCATTGCTGAGACATGGGACTTGAATCTCTGAACTGAATCACTGTCCTCTGAAATGGCTGTACCAGAATCCAAAGTGAATACTTGTTACTTTGTACAGGCCTAGAGGAGACTGCCCATTAAAGAAACGAGTGCTGTTCCTGTATTGTGTCCTGGCCTGACCTAGATGGAGATATATAAAACCAGATGGTAGCCTGTTCAGGTAACTGGATAAATATCTTTCCAGGAACCTCTTAATGTCCTTTTTAACAGACTATTTCTTCTCAATGGTAGTTTCCACTTCCTTCTTTCCCCCAAGGACTGGGCCCAAATCTGACAAAGGTCAGCAGGCAGAGACTTCCAAACAAAAAAAAAGTCTTGGCAGCTGGGTTCCCTGTAAATCCAGTCTAAGAACCCACTCCTTTTAGAGTCACACAGGTGTATTTTCCTTATTCACACATCTCTGTTCCCTCTATAGCAGTCACACCCCATTGCTTCGAATTGATTCAGAGCTTTTAATTGCTCTCCGGATTCAATTTGGATTTGGAGATTCGGTTCCCGAATCGGGCCGAATCTCCTCTGAATCAAATCAGCACCCGAAGCTTCGCACAGCCCTAGTTTCCTTGTGGCAGTGGGTAGAGGTGGAATAGCAGTGTTGTTATACAGTCTCTTTGCTGCCTTTGACACTGTCATCCCAGGGTGCTGCTGGTCTGGCTGTGTCCTAGCCGGTGCAGCTGAATCATGCTAGGACTGTTTCTCTCCCAGTTCCAGTGCGCTGCACAATACTGTCATGGTGCACATCTTGGGGGTCTTTCTAATGTCCAGTCCTGGGTAACCTGCTGCCAGTTCTGACTGAACATTTTGCAACTTCCTGTTCGTTCCCTTGTGAGAAACTTCCAGTTCTCTCTCTCCTACCCCTTTTCCATGCTTACAGCCTAACTGTCATGCTTTACCCTTCCCTCCTCTTTGGGTGACACACATGGCTTTCCTGAACCCTGCTCATCAAGCTCAAGGCTGCACCCTCATCATTAGGCCTCTACATCACTCCATCCTTGTCCTAACCTTCCAAATCTCTTCAGTAGGCAGTGTTTCTTTCACTCAACACCCATTTGTTTTCTTTGCCTAATAGTGCCATGGGTGACTGGTGCCTCTTGAGTTGGGGGGGCACATGCCCCCCCTGATACCAGTCAGCGACCGGGTGGGGGAAATCCCCTGTGGCCGATCACACTGACCAAGGAGGGGGCCCCCATGGCCAATTGCGCTGACCAGTGTGGGGGGTCTCCTGGCAGCCGATCTCATTGGTGCTCCTGCCTGCCCCTGTGCCCGTCACTTAAACAGGGAGTACGGCTTGACAGGGGGTGCACCAGCACTCTCAAGAGGTGCACATTCACCCCTGTGCACCCCTTATGCATCACCACTGAATAGGGCTGTTGGAAATTTCGACGGTTGTTTCATTTCGAAGCCGTTTCAACACGTTTCAAGCTTGAAACAGCAAAATTGAAGTGAAGTGAAAGGCTTCAAAACAGCCTCAAAACGAAACAAGGGCAGTCGAAATGTTTCAAAAATTTCGAAACATTTCGAGTTTTGAAGCTGGGCTTGCTTGCAGGGAAACAGAAACTAAGGAGAGGGAGGGGGAAGAGGAGGAAGGACTGCTCTTATATTGATTTTGTAGCTGGCCAGTGACTGTCATCCTTCCCTGAGGTCCCTGCCAGTCCCAATGCTCTGGGGGAGGGATGGAAAAACAGCATAAAAAGCATTGTTTGAACTGAGCTTTCTCTGTGCCTCGGGGTCAGCTTACTGAGCACCTATCTCCTCTCGGCTTACCTATGCACCTATCTCCTTGAAACCTGGTAGGCTTCATTGCCTTAGCAGGGGTCACCATTCCTACAGTTTTCACCCTGCTGCGCCTTAACACATACACATGACATGAGTTTTGCTTGTCAGCACCTTGAGGTGCAGTTTCCCAGAAACCCCTGCACCTCTTTCCTTGAAACCTGGCAAACTTTGTGGGTTCAGCAGGGGCTAGCATCCCTGCAGTTGTCACCCCCCCCCATGCCTTCACACTTGCAAGTGCCATGAGTTTTGCTCTGAACTGTTTGAGGTGCAGTTTCTCAGAAACCCCTGCACTTATCTCCTTGAAACTTGACAGGCTTTGTGGTCTCAGCAGGGGCTACCATCCATGCTGTTTTCAGTCAAATCACAAAAGAAGTGACCAAGTTATAGGCATTTTCATGATTCCCCATTATAGCCTATGGGCAAAACGGCAAAATGTGTCAAAACAGCAAAACAGTTTCGACGATGAAATGGAACAGTGCTTCGAAACAGCAAAATGAAACACTGAACCTTTGAAATGGTGAAACAGAAGTCGAAACGAAATGGTGCTGTTTTGCGCAGCCCTATTGCCTAATGTTGTGCTTGCTCCTTCCTCCAGCCTCCCCATTGTGTCTCAGTCAGCCACGGGCACCTGGTCTGAAAGGCCTGTTAATACCTTGAATTAGGCCACCATTACTGAGGAGTCTTACAGAATCTTCACGCGTGGGCATGTCGTTGGTGTCATACACTTCGGTGTGAGACTTTCCAAACTCTTGTACTTTCTGCAGCAGTTCCCTGCTTCACCCTGCTCGGACCAGGTCTGTGCTAGAAACGGCTGTGATAGTCATGTAGATTAGGGAGGTAAAAAGTTTATGGAATTTTTATTATGGAAAAATCTTAGTACAGAAGCACTTCTGTTGGCCTATAAGTACTTTTCTTGCTATAACTTATTTTACTCAGAAATCGGTCTAACTCTGAAAGCAAATGCACTTTTTTCTTGATATGAGTTACATTTTGCATAAGGAAGGCTGGCTGGTGTTGCTACACTGGCAAACCTTTTCCTGTAGTGTAGAGGAGACCTCCAGTATTGGCTCGGCATTTTCTTAAATGGAGGAGACCCCCTAAACTTGAACAGTTAGTCATTTTCTATAGACCCCAGGTGTTCTTTAAATATTTGTTAATCAAGAATTGACCCAAACTGATCCTGTTTAACCTAGTTGGGTCAAAGAACAAAGCAACAATATTGCCAATTCTTGGCATTTGAAGAAGTGAATTTCCAGGGTACAAAACCCAAGGGAAAACACACTACTGGACCGCCAGCCTCTGTTGTACCACCGTTTGAGCCAGAACTGTGACGAGCTCCAGTTTCCCAGTGCTTGTTGCTTTGTCTGCAGATACAGAAGTGGGCCTAAACCTGAGACCAGCCAGCAATGAAACCCAACATATCAATAATGGACTGTGAGAAGACTGTGGGAAACACTAAAGTCAATGTTGCTTTAAAAATGGAGCGAACCACAGTTTTGCTGATCTTTTGATTCTGGCACGTCAAAAAGAAGAAACGGAGCACTGCATGATGCTGCTGTAATCAGCTGCAGGATATTACGACCTGCCACAGGATAGCAATATGTTGCCAAAGCTTTTAAAAGCTGAGCTGCCTGATTAGACTACTAAGTTGTGCCTAGATGTATCTGTACATTGCAAATGAAAAATGAGGTCAGTAACTTCTCAGATTAAATTGAAAGCACATGGGTAGGAAACTAAACTCACTGCCCACCAAGGAAGTGCTGCCAAGGTGGGCCAATTATATCTAATAATTATATTTCATTCGTTGCAGCTCAGAATAGGGTAAAGCATTGGCTTTTAGCAGACTGTCATACCGCTTATAGCCAAACTCAAACCCTAATGAAACAAGATTGTAGCTACAATGAGATTTTACAGCTATTAACGTAAAATAACATACCTTGTGTCACTGTAATGAGAATATGGTCACTGAGAAGGTGACTCCAGTAGAAACTGTGGCAATGACAAGGGAATTAATAACAACGGTACAGTTAACTCTTGTCATGACTCTATCCTATTACCCATTATGCAGACATTCAATTTGAAGTCCTCAAAGTACCATGGAGAAGGTAGAGCAAGGTGGCACCGTAGAGACTGGTGGGTTCAGAGAGGCATAAGCTTTCATAGGCAACAAGCTGTTTGTCAGATGCAGCATCTGATGAAGTCGGTTATTGTCTACAAAATGTCATGCCTCTCTAAAACAATTAGTATCAGAGGGTGCTATCCTGCCCTATTTTATGGTAGATTTCAGACAAACATGGCTAACCACTTCGCTGCCCAAAGCACCACATATCTGAGCACACGGTGTTCATAGCAATGACATGGTTGGTGTATGACCAACCATGATATCATTACTTGCATTTATAACTTTTTTAAAAGCTAGAGCACCACATGTCCCTCCGTCATGGCTTAAATGACAAGGCATATTAGGCATAGCTAATGGTAATAGAGAATTTAGTTACCAAATATCATGTCTTCCCATTGATACAAGATTTTAAATGGCTGTGGGTGAAGGGGTAGAGGGGCAAAATCAGTGGATGGTTTTGATTATATCAAATAGTTTGGAACATACAGAGAGAAAGCTGGTTACACTGTTTGAACACAGTCATTGTATGGGAACCAATACAAAGATTTGTAAAGTAAGGGTAATAAGTACCAGGAGTTTAGTAAGCATCTGAGATATTGTGTTCAGTCTAGGCAGTACCCTAAAGAGAACACAAATAAGGACTCCTGAAAATAAAGATTTGCAACAATCAGCAGTCCCAGTTGATTTTGTCTGGCGTCTTTATCATACATACCATATTCCGCATATTTTACAGAATTGTTGAAAGTACAGGATGCAGAACAGCAGTGCCAGGAATAGCTGATAAGAATTCAGAATGATAAGCGAGAGAGAAACTGTATTTCTGGCTCAGATTTGGAACCAGAGGAAGGTCGTATTAAATGTCCTGAGCTGCTGGTGAGAAGCCTCCTGCAGGGTGGCAGGGTGAGAGTAGGGGGAGGTAAAAAACGAGAAGGGCGGTGTGACAGCAGAGTGAATGGAGACAGGATAAAAGGGGGAAGATAGCAGCAGAGGCAAGTCCATGGAGGGCTTCAGAAATGGGGAGCACTATTCTAGACAGGATCTTGAAGTGCGTGGGAATCCCCGTGGAGTGATTGGGATTATGAATGAAATTATGAATGACAGTGTAAGGATGATAAGTGTAGGCCACTGCTTAGGGCAGTAACATGATTTGGGTAACCTGAATTCAAGCGCCATCCCTTCCACCAACTTCCTCTATAACCTTGAGCAAGGCTCTTAGGGCCAAATCTGTAAGGTAGGTACGTGCCCACTGACTGCAATGGGAGTTGATTGCATAGTATGTGATGGCAGTGGGAATTTGGAGGACAACTTAAGGCAGCTACAGCAGTGCAAGTGGGGAGAGCTGAGGATCCCACGAGAGGTAGAATCAAGGCAATGGTGCATTCAAGCACCTTTGCTTCCTTTATGCCATGTAGTGGGTGCAGCCTTGTGGGACTTGAAGGTTAAAGGATGACCATACTATTTCAGAAGAAGGTACAGATTTGGCACTACCTCAGAGAGAGAACTTCCCTGCCTCGTAGTGTTTAAGCCCTTAAAGAAATATTTCAATATCCTTAGGAAGTGATCTGGCATTGATTTTTATTTATTTTTTTAATCTGCCGAGTGGAAAACATGGGGGTTTTTTTTCACTTCTTCCACGGTAGAAACCGTGCTTGTTTCCTTCAAATAAAGTCAGAACAAAGGATAAAAAATAAGATAAGGATGGGTGGGGGGAGA